GGGGGGGGGGGGGGGAGACATCGATTGGTACTTCCTATTTATGCGTTCATTGGTTGCTTTTTTTTTTAATCCTCACTCTAGGATATTTTTTCCATTGCTTTTCAGAGAGAGTGGAAGAGGGGTAGAGGGGGAGAGGGAGATGTGAAAGAGATACATCGATTGGTTGCCTCTTACACGAGCCTTGACAAGGGCCGGCGATCTAGGGCCAGAAAAATTATTTTAAACAGTAAACATTCTTTTTTTTTTTTTAATACATCTTTATTGATTTCAGAGAGGAAAGGAGAGGGGGAGAGAGAGATAGAAACATCAATGATGAGAGAGTCCTTGATCGAGCCTGCAACCCGGGCATGTGCCCTGACCGGGAATCGAACCCTGATCACCTGGATCCTAGGTCGATGCTTAACCACTGAGCCATGCCCGGCCGGGCTAAACAGTAAACATTCTGATGGGAAAATTAAGCTACAGAATTGATGGGAATATGTTCCTTTCTCCCATTAAATTAAAACCAGAGGGTATCAATTACAGTTTTGCTTTGTTTACATCCTGGAATTAAGAATTTTCATGATTTCATTGGCAAGGAAACGTCACCCAGGGTTTTGTATTAAAAATAACACCTGACCCAGCCAGGCATGGCTCAGCTATTGAGCATCTACCTGGAATCCAGGAGATCACAGTTCAATTCCAAGTCAGGGCACATGCTCGGGGTATTGGGGCTCCATCTCCAGTTGGGGGCGTGCAGAAGGCACCCGATCAATGATGACTCTCTCTCACCATTGATATTTCTCCCTGTCTCCCTCTACCTTCCTCTCTGAAATCAGTGAAGATATATTTAAAAACAACAATAATAATAACATATGAATGGCCCTGGCCTGCAGGGCTCAATGGTTAGAGTGTTGGCCTGGTCACCAAAGGGTCACAGGTTTGATTCCAGGTTAAGGGCATATACTTGGATTTCAGGTTCCATTCCCTAGTACTGGAGGCAACCAGTTGGTATTTCTCTCTTGCTTGCTGCTCCCTTCTCCTCCCCGCCTCCTTTCTACTCTCTCTGATCAATGGGAAACAATATCCTTGGGTGAGGATTAAATAAATAAAAATAAATAAATAAATAAATAAATAGTATCTGAATGAACTTGAATTTTTTCTGAGCAGTTCACTTTTGTAAGGGTAAAAGCACGATTTAACTTTATCCCAACAAATTAAGAAGGGTTTTGATTTTAAAATTGCTTTTCACATTTTGTTACTTCATTAACGTCTTATAATTGTTTTTGTTTGCTTTCTTTTGTGTTTTGCTTTGTTTTTCAAACTGTAAGTGAAAGTTTATTTAGATAGGTAGAAGAAGTGAGTCATAGAAGAAATGGGCTCAGGCAGCAAGTTACAGAGGCAAAAGTAGGGCCCTTGGAGCTTAGAGGAAAGAGGAGGAGGGTGATGGGAAAGGTGCTGGTGTGCTCCCAAAAGGGAGTACCTATTTTATCATATTGATATGGGAGATACACATCGCTTGGTTGCCTCCCGCATGCGCCCCGACCAGGGCTGGGGATCCAGCCTGCAACTGCTGAGGCACATGCCCTTTGATGGACTCGAACCTAGGACCTTTCAATCCACAGGCCGATGCTCTAACCACCTGAGCCAAACCGGCCAAGGCCTCCTATCTTGTTATTTTAAATCGCCATGTCAATAATACAGTCTGATCATGTTGCTTGTATTATAACTTGAAGTTTCTACTTGATTATCCACCCAGTTATAATTATTGAATGTAATAGACTTAAAAAGTAAGCATTTCAAAAAAAAAATAGTACACATTTCCTTACCCTGGTTATATATGTAAACTAATCTACTGGACTTTTTACCCCTCTCTCAATTACAGTTTTCTGATTCAGAATGTGCCAAGAAGGCTTTGGAACAACTTAATGGATTTGAGCTAGCAGGAAGGCCAATGAAAGTTGGTCATGTTACTGAACGTACTGATGCTTCCAGCGCTAGCTCATTTTTGGATAGTGATGAACTGGAAAGGACTGGAATTGACTTGGGAACAACTGGTCGTCTTCAGTTAATGGCAAGACTTGCAGAGGGTAAGCTTTTTTAGTGTTGCTAATGTTTTATTATGGCTATGATAAATGAGAAAGGTATGCAGAGTAATAAATGGAAAGTGATTTTGGATTTGGTGTTATCCTTGGGCAGCACATGTATGTAATTTCATTGATGAGGTTCCTTGCCTTAAAGTTCTAACGGAATCCACTTGATGGTGGTGCATTTTTTAGTACCATAGTTATGTTACAGGATTCCTTCTGCTTTCTATAAAAATATCCTCACACTTCAGAATAAATTCAGTTGTAGCTCTTACACTATATGCTGCTTGTAATGTCTTTTATTGGAGTGACTTTGGTAGTAAGCGCTCAGAAAATGTGTTTTTCTGCTTTTAACATATTCAGGATTTAAGACCTATTCTTTTACAGGTACAGGTTTGCAGATCCCACCAGCAGCACAGCAAGCTCTACAAATGAGTGGCTCTTTGGCATTTGGTGCTGTGGCAGGTAGGAATTGAATCTTTTCTAATTTGAAGTCATTGTTTTTTCACCTAATTCGAAAATTTGCCAAATTTTTGCATTTAAAATTAAGGACTTACTGAGAATTCAATTCATCAAGTACTTATAGCCTATAGATTTCAAATTTCCTATAAGAAAGTAGAGATATGGGACAGAATTATTTACTAATTAAAATAAGTTATCAGGGTATTACTATTGAACCCTGCACACCAATTTTAGCTTAAATTGTAATTGTAATCTATACCTTTAAAAATACATCACTTTTATTAGAGACCAAAATGCTTATATTGCTTTAAAGAAAAGAATGTTTCTTTGTAATATTTAAGTTCAGAAAACTATCAGAGGCCTTTAAATCAAGCTTTATTAAAGTGATTGTAGTACAATAGTGCCCAGTAAACTGCCTGGTAAACTGCTTTTCTGAATAGTATACATTGTTTTTGAGATGTTGAGCTTAGGGAATAAAGTTCCTGTGGAGGGCAGAAAGGGAGGAAAGCCTTGGCAGTTCATTCCACTTACGTAACAAGGCGTTTGGTTTATGAAAGACATGGTCTTCCTGTCTTTTATGACTTAATTATGTGAATTTGTCTTAATGAACCTTGACATCAGCCCGTATTTACAAGCTAGCATAACATTTAATTTTGAAATGTTGAAGACTTGGCTTTTAGAACATGTAAGAACCATTTGTATTGTGAACCCTGTATGACAGGAAGTACTTATTCCAAGAAAGTATGGCAATTTCTATTAGGAATTGGTCCTTTGACCTTGTCTACAAAGTGAGACTGCAATATATAAAACGTATGACATACGTACACCTCAAACTAATACAACGCTGGATGTCAATTATAATTGAATAATAAAAATTTTTTTAACAAGGAAAGAAATTAGATATGATGCAACTGAATGAATCTATACCCCCAAAAAAGTTCATGTGGTTTTTTTCATGATTTCCTTTTAAATTGAAAGCTCATTATCTAATTAATGGAGAGGATAATTTTCTACTTTTATATTCCTTGTCATTATTTAGAGGGAGGGGGTGCTTTTCAGTGTTTTCCTTTTTAATGGATATCCAAAAGTTTGTGAGGAGTATCTTTAGAAAACCTGCCTTTAGCTTTCTGTGCTTACTGTCAAATTGAGCAATTTATTTTGAAATCTGATAGGTAGTTATTCTCTAAAATTTCGGACAAAACCATGCCAAGTGTGGTTGAAAAGATCACAACCATTATTTATTTATTTATTTTGAAAATTTGACTTGAAGGCTTTTTCTGTATTGCTTCCCATTGTTCAGGGCATCCTTTCATTAATTTAGAAAATGTTTTATTTTTCACCATATTCTAGATATTTCACTAAAGACTAGTGAACAAGACTTAAGATTTGTTCCCTGCCTTCAGGGATTTGATGCAGTGACATACGAGTGATTTCTAAACAATCTTAGGTTATATCCTGGGTGATATATCAAATATGTTGATTTGGTCTTCTTCATAAACAGTATCTTCACCTAAATGAAGTTTTTAGACGTTACTACCTTCGGTGTTTATTTCTCCTATCATACATGATTACACCTCCCTTGCCTCTTCCCTGTGGAGCTGATATTAAGGCTGGCTGGCTGTGATCAACTAAAATTCAAAACGTCCACGTGGGTTGCTGAAAATAGTGATTATTTAGCTGTGTATTTGTTATCCCCCCTTTTAAGTGTTTGTTGACATGATTTAAAGTTTTTTGATTCTGTTTTTTTATACTTTTCATAAATTGTATTGCTACTGAGTTAATACTTAATTTATAGGTAAATATGAATGTAACTGGTTATTTTTTTCTCCAGTCATTATTAAAACCTCATCACTACATCTACATGCTTTTTTATTAAAAGAGAGAAACATCCACATGTGAAACATCTGTCAGCTGCCTCCCACACGCCCCCTACTGGGGGCTCAGCTGGAAACCCAGGCATGTGCTGTGACCTGGATGGGATGGCGGTCAACCAACTGAGCCACTGTGGCTGGGCTCCACATGTTTTTATTCTGGAAGGTTAACAGATAGGGTCAGTCTTTACTTTTATGAAACCCATGCTTTATTTTCTAACTTGTCACAACAAGTGATGTGAAAGATCATCAAAAATTTATTTCTGAAAAGAAAGCATGATTTTAAATATTCATGTCTTATTTGTTTCCAAGTGTCAGAGTTCTTGGTCAGATTTGAAAACACTTTAAAACAAGTTCTTGGCAACCTCCAAATTAGTCTTGGTCACCTTGATATTTCTCTGGCCATAAGCTTGGGATCAGAAAGGCATATAAAAAGTCATCTTCATTTTTGAAATTTTTATAGGGATTTATATACACTTAAGATAGCATGGATTTCTGATATCTATACATTTTCCCCCATTTTAGGAAAAAAAAGACAAATTGTGTTATAATTTAAAGTTTATTGACAATGTTCCTATGGTCGTATCTTCAAGTTCCTTCAGTATACACCAGTTAAATTTCTTCAACTCCTTGAGATGGCAATTTTGAGCACCTAGAACCCAGGTATACTTATATCCCAATATAACTTGGGCTGCAGATCCCATTTAGTTTTTTCCCATGTTTACGATCATTTTCAGTTACTCAGCAAGAAACCCAAATGGTAATAAAGTGTTGCAGTTGAATCACGTGTTAACGAAAATTGGGTATTGAATCTAAACAATTTCTATATTGTACAATTCTGTAACTCCACCTTCAAGATAGCTTTCAACACTGGCATTTTCTTTACTATTCAGATTTGCTGCTGTTTTCACTTGTTAGCAGCTTTCTCTTAACTTGCCTTTTGGTATAGAAATATTAATGATTACATGAAAAAGATATTGGTGAAAATTCCCATTCTCTTTATTTTTAATTATTTTAATACTGACTAGGTGCTTAAATTTTCTGTATTTCATAGATTATGGTAAACTCAATTAAATTTTATTCCTGCCTCATTAAATTTCCAGACTAGGCCATGAAACCAGACCAAATAAAATTCATTCTCCGGGCTGGACTTGACTCTACTTAATCGTAAAAGCACTTTGAAAAAGTAATTAAGTTAGAATGGTGTGTTTTCCACTGGTGTTATTCTTACTGCTTAATTGGTAGATTAGTGAAAGTGTTTATTACAGCTGTTTGATATGTATTATTGCAGGGTTACTATTTAAAAGTTTAAAAGACTTATTTCCACTGATAGAATAATAAATAGTTGTATATCCCAAGTACTTGGAATTGAATTCTCAAGATCAGGGTTTTCATGTATTTTCTGACCGGTGTGCTTCCCTTTCCCCATTTCCCATTATTCCCATGTGTAGAATAGTGTAGTGGAATGCATTTGAGATGTGGAAGAATATTTAACTAGGAATAGGAAGAGAGAGGCATGTAAGTTTCCTAGGATAGGAGGAAATAAGAAGGCCCCAAAGCCTTGCCAATGAGGAATGGGGAAGGAGGTTTGGCTGCCAGGTTTTACTATAAGTTCATTTTCATAAACCCTGCTCCAGTAGTCCTCTTTTATTAATGCTTTCCTGACATTTACCCTGTTAGTTGAGGCTCTTCATTGTTCCTGCACTGAGCTGTAGAATTCTCTTTTGTTATAGATTTGCAAACAAGACTTTCCCAACAGACTGAAGGTGAGTTGAGTTTTTTATTTGTCTTTGAAATAAATGTAAATGTAGCAAGATATAGTTGTTTATATTTATTATTGTACTTTTGTACATTATTTTGGATCCAATTTTGGCAGAATGACACACACACAATATGTTTCAGAAGGCCTAATCCAAATTATTACAATTGCATGGATAAGAAAATGCCTGCTTTTTTTAGTTTTAGCTTGCTTAGAATTATTTTAAGCCTTTTATGCTTATTTTTGTGTAGTGATTCTTACTAAGTTTTACATAAAAGTCAGAAAATGAAATTTGTTATTTAGATAGACATATGTTTCAGAACATAGTCTGTGAACCTAATATAAGATTAGGAAAAACTGGCTGTAACTCCAGTGATTTGTATATTCAGTACCAAGTAATGAGAAAATTATCGAGAACAAAATTGCATGCAGATTTCAGAGATTGAAATGATTTATGAAGTAGACTATTTTTTCTTGTTTTTAATTGACACATAAATATCCGCCATTTGATAGAGCCATTTTCTGTTGAGCAAATTGAGTATCCATCTTTTATAGGGTATACTTAAAGTTGTTTAGGGAAATGATTCTGTGTGAGAAAGATCTACCATGTTCTTAGTCAGGAATTAAATGTATAATTTTTCTGGCAAGTTTTCAATCCTTTTTTTCCTAACAGATTTTTTAAAGTTGAACTAGTGAATTTTTCTGTTAATGCTATTTCTCTGCTGAATTTGTATTCTGCATTCATCTGGGTTGAGTTGTAATAGTTCTATCATACATTTTCTAAATATTTTTCAATGTTCGTAGTATATTATCATAGTTAATTTGAGGAAGTGGAAAAGTAAAATTCTCAATAATTTGTAATGACCTTCTAGTTTTCCCCCCAAGCATTCTTTCATTTATTTATGATAAGGTCACAGCAGACTTTATTTATTTAAAATGTTTTTATTGATTTCAGAGGGAGAGGAAAGGAGAGAAGGAGAGAGAGAAAAACATCAATGATGAGAGTCACTGATTGGCTGCCTCTTACACACCCCCTGCTGGGGATTGACTTTGAAACCCGGGCATATGCCCATGACTGGGAATCAAACCGTGACCTCTAGGTTCATGGATCAATACTCAACCAGTGAGCCACACTGGCCGGGCAGGCTTTATATTTTAACTGTAATACAAAGTACTGTTGCATTTTTAACTTCCCCAGCAGAGTTTGACATCTATTAGTTACTTTAGCATTTTTATTTTAATATAAAGTTTTATGAAAGGAAACTACTTATTGAAATAAAAAGTAAGCAAAAAAGCACTGGTAATTCTATCAGAAACTATTTTTTATGATGTATATCATGCACAGCCATCATTTTTTTCAAAGGAATATTTGATACTTCCTCAGATGAACGTTTAATTATCATAATTTCTAATGCACTTGTTTTATCCTTAGCTTTGTTTGTTATGTATTGGAATGAAATTTGGTCAAATGTTATGATTACGGTGAGTTGTGTAACAGCTACTGGTAATGTTTTATAAACCACATAAAAACAATAGAGCAGCTGTCTTGGACAATGCTCTCACTTCAAACTTAAAACCAATATGGGTTTTAAATGCTGAGCTTTAATGTTAGTGTTCAGTAGTTTTTTATTTTTTAATATAATGAATATTATAGTCTGTTATTTTAAAATATTAGTTTGATTTTGTAATAGAATTTATAATCCTAGGATATTAATTCTTAAATGCTTGTGGTAGTTTTATGTATCTTATTTTTAAAACTTAATCCTTTTATAGTGTTTATGTGTTTTTAAAAATAAGTAACTATATATTCATGGGTAGAACCCTAAGAAGTGCAATAGGTTATATATTTATTTGGCACTTCATTTATTCATGTTGGAGGTGGGAGGGTGGAGAGAGAAACACCCATTTTTGTTCTACTTACCCATTCCTTGCTTGCTGCTGCTTTGTGTCCTGACGGGAGATCAAACCCACAGCTGTGGCATATTGCGACAACCCTGTAAGCAACTGAGCCACCCAGCAGGGCCTTATTTGGCATTTTAAAGATTGTATTTTCATTATCTCCTGTTTCTCAGGGTATTAAACTTCAGCAGTTTTACAAAGTCAATCTTCAGTTTTAGCCTTTGTATTTCTGGATTGATTTGTGTTGATATTTATATAATTGAAGTTTAATTACACATAAAGTTTAATTTCTCTTGTGAAAACAAAACTCCCAACTTTCTCAAGATCGTTCACTTCAAATGTTGCCTCAATTTTCTGGCAACTAAAATGGGGTACTGTTACATACTTTGATAGCATTATTAAATAAGGTAAATTAGTGAAGTGGCTGGGTTGACTATACCCTAGTTTCACACTTTGGATTTAGTGGGTTTTTTGTTTTTGTGTTATTCTGATGCATTTTCCATGAAACTAATTTCCCTCTCTTTTTTTTAGCTTCAGCTCTAGCTGCAGCTGCCTCTGTCCAACCTCTTGCAACACAGTGTTTTCAACTCTCTAACATGTTTAACCCTCAAACGTAAGTGATATACTTTGGTCAAGTTCAAACCCTTAGGATGTTTCCATGTATTTCATAGTTCAAATAGTTCAACAGTTTTGATCCTTTTAACACAGTTTTTATGTGCATTGCTGGTTATTTTCTTTGGATATGTTTGTAAGATTGGAATTGAAAGCTATGCAGATTTTATATTTTCCATTTATGTCTAAGTACTATACTATAGTTTGTATCAGTATTTATTGTGATCATCAGTTTACTCTTTTATCAGTTCTGGGCTTTGAAATTTTAAGCTTCAGTCTAATAGCAGAAAGTTATCTTTTAAAATTTTCTTTTGATTAGTGTTTGCTGTGAATTAGGAATATTTTTTTCCTACCTAGAATTCCATTTATTAATCAGTTCACATCTTTGTTTTTTTGTTCAGTTAATTTGATAAATCAAACATTATATTTGAGGAAACATGTTTTAATAATTTATAACATCCTGTTTTGTTTATATTAGTTCATAGTTTACCATAGAAAGAGCTTTGGAGTCTTGTATTTTGTTAGTTTTGTCTATGAAATGGTGATAAGCTGTTGGTAAAGTATCATTTGAAAAATGTTAATAAACTATTTAACTGACAATGTTAAAAATTTACAGCCTTGGTTAGAAACAGTGTTTTATATCTTTTTCATTTCCTCCAGTTCCCTATACCTGCTAACAGTGATTTTTTTAAATTAAAAGAATGCATATTTTAAAAGGTTTATGCAGATGAGAATATATGTAACATTTTTTAAGATTGAATAGTGTCTAATAAAGCTTAATACTTTCCTACAGAGAAGAAGAAGTTGGATGGGATACAGAGATTAAGGATGATGTGATTGAAGAATGTAATAAACACGGAGGAGTTATTCATATTTATGTTGACAAAAATTCAGCTCAGGTATTTTGCTCTTTTTAATAAGCAGAAATGTTGCTCTCTTTGTCTTAAACTTCATAGATACTTGGGGCGTATTATGATCATTGTCTTTCCTTAGAGTGTTTTTTCCTGAAAGCTTCGAATACCCACTGAATATACACCCCTCAAAGTGACACTTTGAAAGTAGTTGAGGATTAGACCAGTAGTGTAGTGTTGGTGGTTCATATTGAAATGTTGTTGTGAAGTCCTGGCATGTTAATAATACCTTGTTGACCATAAGTTAACTCGTGTCTGCACTGATATTAATTTAAGCAATTTTAAGGTCTGAAAGTAATGTAGATATTTTTTGTTTTTGTATCCTCATCTGAGGATATTTTTCCATTGCTTTTCAGAGAGAGGGAGGGAGGGGGAGAGAGAGAGGGAGAGACACATCGAATGGTTGCATCACGAATACACCCGACCAGGGCTGGGGATCGAGCCTAGAACCGAGGTACGTTCCCTTGGTCGAAATCTAACCAGAAGACCCTTTCAGTCTGCAGGCCAATGCTCTAAGCAGTGAGCCATACCTGCTAGAGCGCAATGTAGAGTTTTAAAAGAGCACTCTTGATTGTTTTCTTACTTATCTTTGTTTAGGCTCGGATTATAAGAGGTGTGAGATATGAGCCACTTCACTGTTCCGCACTTATTTTTGGTTGTCCCTCTAAATGTAAGATATGACGGAATAAAGTACATTTAAGTTTGTTTAGATGCTTTCATTTAATATTCAAGCACGGAAAAGTAGCTGTCTCCCTGGGGAGTTCTGGCTCAAATTAGCTGGTCAGTAGGGTGTTCATTTTTCAGCAGCTTTCAAACCCTAGAGAAAAGCTAGTACAGGGCAAGTCTTTGAGCAAATAAAACCTTTCCGATAAAATTCCAGGTGTACACAGTTAGCTAGTAAAACAATTACATGGTTATAGAACACTGAGTTTTTCTATAGGCAGCTTGAATATGCCTATTCAGATTCACGCTGTTTATGGCAATGCCCTTACCTTTTTTGGTTGTATTTTAGGGCAATGTGTATGTGAAGTGCCCATCAATTGCTGCAGCCATTGCTGCTGTCAATGCATTGCATGGCAGATGGTTTGCTGGTGAGTTTGATTTTTTTTTTTCCTCCTAAGTGATTATTAAGGCTCTAATTAATCTAAGTGGAGATGTTAAACTTCCAATATCTGTTTCTTTCAACAGGTAAAATGATAACAGCGGCATATGTACCTCTTCCAACTTATCACAACCTCTTTCCTGATTCTATGACAGCAACACAACTACTGGTTCCAAGTAGACGATGAAGGAAGATATAGTCTCTCATGTACATAGCTCTTTTTCTTTGAGAATTCATCTTGAGTTATCTTTTATTTAGATAAAAATAAAGAGGCAAGGGTCTACTGTCATTTGTATACAATTCCTGTTACCGTGAAAAAATAAAAATGTTAACAGGAATGCAGTGTGCTCATTCTCCCTAACTAGCAAATCCCACTGTATACAAAACTGTTCTCTTGTTCTGCCTTTTAAATGTACATGTAGAAAATTACATTAAGGATCTATAGGAATAGCTTTAGGCAAACAAATGTGCTTAATGTAAAAAGGCAGACAGGGATATAATGTTTTTAATGTTTCATTTCAGAAGCCTCACTTTTTACACAGCAGTTACATTTCACATTTTCACTGATGTTGATATTGGCTAATGGTTTAGCAGAGGTTTCTGAAATACACACTTAGTGTTTGGAAATTCAAGACAGCTAAAGGGCTGTTTGATTAACATCTCATCTTGCACTCTGATCAATTGGCAAGAAAAGATTTCAAAATTACATTTCTGAATGGTTTTCAATTAATGTATCTGTAAAAGTTTCTTTGTAAATATGTGTTCTGGTGTGTCTAAGATTCCAAACAAAATGATCCCTGCATTTCCTCAAGATGTTTAGTGACAGTTTGGTAAGCAAAGCAGTCTGAGCAAGAAATAGGAAATGCAGAAATAGGTTTTGTCTGGTTGCATATAATCTTTGCTCTTTTTAAGCTCTGTGAGCTCTGAAATATATTTTTGGGTTACTTCAGTGTGTTTGACAAGACAGCTTGATATTTCTATCAAACAAATGACTTTCATATTGCAACAATCTTTGTAAGAACCACTCAAATAAAATTCTCTTAAAAAGGCCACAAGAAATCTTCATTTTTGAAATGTGTTAAAGTCATAGAAACATGAAAATAGAATATTAGTTTTAGTTTCTTTGACTTTTAGTAGTTATTTGGTGTTTGCCTTTGGAAAAATTCTTAGCAAAGTCTGGAAAACCTCTTGCCCTCAAGTTGTCTGTACATTCCTGCGTATCACTATATCTTGGCACTGTACTTATTTAGGGTAATGTATTAAAACTGATTTATTAAAAAAAAAGTTTCATCCAGGCCTTAAACTTGGGCATTGTTAAGTTTTCTGTGTTGTCTGGACATCCTTGCGAAAAAATGCTTTACTATTGAAAAGTAAATATGGAACAAAAAATGGAGTAAGTACAAGCTGATTTCCCAAATTAATGCATTTGTTACTTTATTAGGGGATTTTGAGCTTTAACTTGGGTAGTGAGCCATCACCATTTATACCCTGAACTCTGATTCAAGTTGTGTCTAGGTTGAACCTTTGGGTAGGCAGTGTTGCTCCTACTGGAATGATAACCTTTAAATACTGATTTCCTTACCTCATTTCTGTTTCTGCTGCATTGATTTATTAGCATTGAGGCACAGGTTTTATACTATTTATTTAGATACCTAATCAACTTGAATATGGAGGCATCACAATTTTCTACCAACCCTTTTGGATGAGTAGTTTAGTCCAAAATTGCTTCAGTTATTTAACCTGAAGAAAAGTTTCAAGATTAAAGTTTTTATTTTTTCAACACTGGGCAGCAGTGTTTCTTGGGGCTGACTTATACTGTCAGTTATTTTTTCTTTCCAAATTAAGTTTTTTATTCTTGAATCAAGTCCTGGTTCTGTCTCAGGTTGTCTCATTCCAGCAAAGGTGGCCGTATCATCTTTATTATGTAAGGCAACAGAATGAAATTTGGGTTGTAAATGATGTTCAAAGTAAATGGTAAGGGTTTGGCAACTCAAATAGTTGATGCATAGAAAGGAGTTCAGATTGCCATTGAGTGAAATCCTTCAAGTAAGACAGCATCCTACTCTTCGGAAAATCTGTAGCTGCTATTGCTATTCTGGTAGTGTCCCTGATTTTGGTTGTGTCCCATGTCCCCAAAATATTTCAGTCTAGTTTCTTATAAACATTACCATTTACTAAGAACCTAGCCAATTACAGTAGAACCTTGGTTCTTGAACTTAATTCTAAGTTCTGGAACTTCTCGAAAACCGAAGCATTTTCCCCTATTAGAAATAATGTAAACTGAATGCCGTTCTAGACCACCCCCCCAATTCTGTTTAAACCTTTTTTTTATCCTCCCTTTATACTTTTCCAATTGCTCTTCAGAGAGGGGGGTTGGGGGGGAACTCTGATGTCAGGGACATGGGAGGGTGTTTGCAGGAACCTGCAACTTAAGTACATGCCCTTGAACTGAATCGTACTTGAGACCCAACACTAGCCATTGAGCCAAACCAGCTAGAGCTTAACCTTTCTTATATATAGATACATAGTACATGTCTAATGTACTATTTAAAAACAACGAAATGAAATGTACAGTAAGAGTTTAATAAGCAACAAAAGCAAAAACAAAAATATTCACACAAATATTTCCTGAGATGTTAACTGGTGAACTGACTCAATACTTGCATTCTCTCCTTTGTCACCTAAGAGATGTGTGACTGATATCAGCATGAAGGGTTGGGTTGAGAAGCAAATTGTTGGGAGATGTTCAAGGTTTGACTAAGAATTTTGTGAGGGGATAAGTTTATATAATTTATACCCTCATTGATGGCTGGTTAGAGAATCACCTGGGATTTAGTTGAAAAGCTACAAAAGTGTCTTGACAGTTTGATTTGTTTCACTGTGGATAATTGGTTCTTTTTCTGATCAAGCCAGCAGCTATACCCGGACAATTAAAACACCCTTTTGCATTGTGACCTTGAAGAAATGAAATTTACTTGTAGTTTCAGTTTTTCACCTTTAAAACTGATAAAAGCATCAACAAAAGGTTGAGTAGGTAATAGGGCTTACTAGAATCTACGAAAGTTCCAGGCGTGGAAATATTTTCTAACTTGGATTTAACATACAGGTCTAGTGAAAAAGACAAACTTCCTCAGCCCACTTGAGAAAATCTCTAACCAAGCTGTTAACAGGCTAAGAGTGAGAAGAAGAAACAATGCCTCCAAACACAGACTACTCAAAGTCTTTTTATTATTATACATGGACTGGGACTGATGGGATGGGGTAGATGTGGGCAGCCACTGCCCTGATTAGCATCGGATGCCCATCCCGATGGCCATGAATGTGCCAAAGGTGCCGCCACTCTGCATCATGGTTTTCCCGATGCCGCCCATCAGCTCCCGACCCCGCATTCCAATCCTGGGAGAGGAGGAAACCAAGATGGGGCCAATTGGGAACAAAAATACTGTACAGGGAGATGTAGTAGCTGCTTTTCTAAAATGTGCTTTTAATGATAAATCAAGCACTCCAAAAGTCTGGCAGGACTGTCCCCTCCCACCTGCCCAGAACGAGTAATGACAAGTTGAAGGACCTATTGGAGACTAAGTGCCCTTAGTTTCTGGGAGGCAGCAAATGCAGTGTCAAGTACGTGGAAACCATTTTTCCTGTGCTGGTTTTACCTCTATATATGATCCAATAACGACAGCTGTTACTGTGTTAAAAGTGAGTCATTTTACAGACTGTCAAGTGTAAAAGGATCGTAACGTTCACAGAATTGTGATAATAGCATTTAGCACAGTGATTGACACACAGTGCAAAGTAAATGGTAATTTACAGTCTGGAAAAAAGGAATAGCCTACTACACGTGAAAATGACATTTAGGGTGCAGAGTTTACCTGCTTACTTTCTACATCCTGTTCCCAGGACAAAACTGCTGAAATTTCACCATGTGGAACTGGAAATGAGCACTTAAAACACCTTGCTGACGGGTCAGGAGATAACTCATGTCTATACCTAATATAAATTTTAAATACCTTGCTGACCGGTCACAATGGAAAAGTAGCCGGCCGCACGGGCGAATTCTGGCTCGAAATAGTCAGCAAGGTGTTCAATATGTGCCAGGTTCTGTGCCAAGTGTGGACTGACTTGATCCTTACGACTCTGTGAGGTAGATGTTACCGACCTCACTCCACACTTGAGGAAACCCAGGCTCAACATGCCTGAGGTTACGGACCGAGTAAGCGCCAGAGTGGAGGCTGAGTCCGAACTCTCATTCTCCAAAACCGAGGGTTCCAACCTGTCCTTCCAGACGGAAGGTGGTTAGAAATCGGTCTCGCTCAGACGACAGAGAGGAGACGGGAGCGCGCTAAGGCTCCATTACCGCTGCAGGCCGAGCGGAGTGGGCGGGAAGGTCTGGCAGTCCCGCCCAGAGGTCACCACCCGCGCCCCTCACCTGAGACAGGAAAAGGTGCCGAAGAGCGCCCCGGCCGCCATGCCCACGGCGCAACCCATCACAAAGCCCATCTTCACGCGGTCGAAGCAGCTTGGCTGGGACTGTCCATAGGGACCCACGGCCACCGGCATCTGCGGGTTCGAGGATCAGGGAAATGCAGGCCTGGCCGCCAGCCCGAAAGTCGGGTGGGGTCAGAGGAAAAGGGGTGGGGAGCGGACCTAAGGGTTCGAGGAAGTTCAGGAAGGGAAATCAGCGTGGAACCCGGTTCCATCACCCTTTTAGCGTTCGGGCCCTTGAGCCCCCAACCTCACCTCGCTCGCGGCCTCGGTCGCTCAGCTCTACGTCTCACACGAAACGCGAGGCGGAGCGCGCTAGCTGCCCAAGGAATCGCTTCCGGGTCGCTGAATAGTGCTTCCGGGAGCCCATAGCTTGGGACTGCAGCGGCTCGGGGCGCGGGGCTGTACCTCCGGGACCATGCTGGTGCGGACCGCCTGGAAGCGGGTTGCCGCGGCCTTGCTGGCGGCTCAGGGGCCCAGGCCCGAGGCGCCCACTCGGAGTCTGCGCCTGCGCGGTATGCTCTGGGTCCTGCTCGCTGCCACCCTCCCGGGGCGCGCGGAGCTCTTCTCCCGGCCGCGACGCACCGGAATCTTCCGTAGCCTCCCTCTTCCGCCCGCTGCCCAGACCCTCTGACTCTTCCCCTTGGCGTCACCCCTCCAATTTTCTCAGGCTGGACTTCTTAGTAGACTTCGCTGCGACCCCCCTGGGATCCTAGCGACGCTAGTCGTCCACCCAGAGACCTTTAAAGGAGATCTTGCCTGCTATGTCTCCATAGCCCTTCTCAGTGGCTTTGCCCTTTCAGAGCCTTTCCAGCTCCCTACGATGCAATTTGAGTATTGTCCCAACACCCCCCTCCGAGAGCCCTGTCTCTCTCCTTTACCTCATTTTACAGTTTGCTCAAATCCTCTGTTTTCTTTCCTTTTTCCTTAAGATTCAACCCCAGCACTCCTTAAACGTAACTCACCTCCATCCAGCCTTTACCTTCTGATGTCTTGGATACCCTGTGTCCATAGTTGCATCCTCTCTCACTTGGCCACTCCGTTCCATATTTTTGTCAGTTGCAGAGCGTGCTCCCCAGTCTGCTGTTCCCTCAGATGCAGCCGCTGCTCCAGCGGTGGAGTCAGTGCTGCGACCTCTGTATATGGATGTGCAAGCTACAACTCCTCTGGTAAGGACGGAGGGGCAGCTTTTACCAATGCTGCGCATAGGAGTCATATTGTAGAAGTGACTGTGTACAGAAATGGTTGGATCTTGGTAGAGCTAAGAGCCATTGATGAGTGTTTACTGGGAAAAGCAGTGAGGTAGGAGTTAGGCTTAAGTCGTAGTCCACTAGAAGTGGCTCAACTACTTACAAACTGTTCATCTTGGTCAAATCACTTCAGTGTGGGCACTATAGTAGTAGTTAAAAGCATGGGCTCTGGAATTAGCAGGACTGCTACTTAGTAATTGTGAATTTGGGCAAGTAGTAAATGGATTGAGACAAAACAGCGCTTAGCAGCTTGGCACATGATAAGCACTTGCATATTAATGCAAGGTTTCACCAACATATGGACTGTCTTGTCCTGGCCCCTTGTAGATCATATTTCCTGGTAGGAATGTGAACACCTGTAGAAATGGCTGTCAGGACAAGACAATGTTTGTAGATTACCCAGGGAGATGGTAGAATAGCCCAATTTAAGCTGGATTGGGAATGGGAGTATATTAGGTTGATACTTGGTTAGTACTTGAGGGGCTGGAATAATGTTTAAGTCCTAATCTAGGCAGTGTCCGAAGGGTTGGGAGTTTGTTGAGGCAGGTCTGAGGGGATGGAGTGGGGC